GAAGGCTCCCCTCTACATGAACGGCGAAGATATCTTCATTCCCAACTGTGACACCAAAGGCTTTTACAGGCGAAAGCAGGTACCTATTTTAAATATTATTTAAAGCAAAGGAAGCAGCTCGGGATCTTTGAGGGAAGACATACCCATGCAGGCAAAACTCAATTTTAGGCTGGAATGTCAAAGAAATTAGTCCAGCGAGTGAGTTTCCCACAGTGAGAGAAAGGGTGGGTGAGAAATTTTAAAAATGGCCAAAGCCCAATGAGCTCTCCAGTTTGCACTAGAGTAGTAACATAGAATTGATTTACCAGTCTTGCTCCTTATATATTATGTTAAGCTATGGCTTTAAGTCTGACGGAGAAAGCCCCAATTCCTGGGTTCATCCATTCTGCAAACCCACCCTTATGGCATTTATGGGAAAATTTAGCTCTCTTCTCTTGCTTTATAAAAGCCCAACACCATTTATGCTTATACAGAAGTAAATCCACTGGAGTTCTATGACTCTGATTCAATTGGAATAACTCAGTATGATTGTCTCCTTGCTGGATGGCAAGGCTCAGTAAGACCTATCAAATTCCAGTTCTTCAAAACTTGGTTTCATTAGGACACTCTAGATACAAACATCTTGCTAAATCTCCATCCTGATCCAATCATCTCCTTAAAGTGTTAGTAAAAGCATCAGCAGCGACCGATGGGCTGTGCAGGATGGGACTTAAAGAGCAGCAAGGGTATTCTCATTGAACTGCCATGGCTTAAAATAGCGTTTCTCAATCTCATTAAGTTGAGCTCCCAGCACACTGGCTGGGGAATTCTGGGAGACAAAGTCCATATCTTTTAAACTTGCAAAGGTTGAGAAGCACAGATTGAGAGGGATGTGTGAATATGCTGTGGATCAATCCTATGCTCTTCAATAGTAATAGAAGAACCCGTGGCTATCTTTGGTTGTTGTTTCAACTTTCTTTGAAAGAGATCCAAGATTAGAGAAGTAGCTTCCTTTTTTTTAATCTAGGTTAGCCATTGCATATTTTTTTCCTGCAGAAAGAGGCTTGTGTTAGCGGCAGCTATACTGAACCTCAAATATTTATTATGATCTGTCCTGTTCACCCAACTGCTTCAAATGAGCTGTCTTATTTTTTTCATGTATAAAAGCATTATGTAAAGAAATCCAGTCTTCTGCAGTGGGTATTGTTTCTCTGCTCTTCTAAATTTTCAAGGAAAGTGACTTTGCTGTTGAAAATGGTCTTGTCTTCTCCATAGTGCCGGACCTCCAAAGGGCAGAAGAGGGGCCGATGCTGGTGTGTGGATAAGAGAGGCCATCGGTTGGAGGGGCTGGAAGAGAGCCCCCTCTGCCTGCTTGCGAACAATGACTGAGGATGCAGAAAGAGCCGCGGCCACTGTGGTCCAGCAGCAGAATTCTTGACTGAGGGGACTTGTCTTATTAGAACAGTCATGGAAAATTTTTTGCTTGTAATTTATTGCACAGTTGTTGCCTTATTGGGATCCTGCCTTCCCTGGGATAACTTTGGAGCTCTTACAGTGTCTGATAATACTCTACAAAAGACTGGCCTGGCTGCTCAGAGAAACAGCAGACTGGGGTCTTCTAACTGCATGACCAAAGAGGGGTGTTGAATAAGCTACCAGTAGTTGCATTACAGCAATAATGCTGGCACTTGAACCAATTCTCTTATACCAGTAAATATGCTTATACCAGTAAAGGAACAAGAATAGCCAGTTCCTGGAGGTGCAGTATGTATACTTGGGCTACCTTTTATAAAATGTGTAGGGAGACCAGGGATTTATCTTATACATGCTACCGAGGTAGATGTGTTTTGTGGAAAGGGTTTTAACAGCACAACTGCAGTACTCACTAAGGGCAATGTAGAAGGAAGTAAAATTAAATGTGGCCAAGTTTTTAAAGGTCAACATCTACAATGTAAGCAAGAAAGTGAAAGTGGTGCAGATACTGGAAATGAGATGTATGGAAGTTTTAACTGTACCTTTAATGTTTTTCGCATTCTCCCTTCTGTTCTGTTTCATGGCTCTCCCCAGCATATTCTGTAAAAGAGTTATCTGGATGACAGGAAAACCTGAAGCTGCCTTCCATGCAGAAAAGCAGTGGATGATGGATTTGTCCCTATTTGCCATAACGTGCTTTAATTTAATGTGTTTAAACAGATAGGTCTCTATTTCTATATGTTTTACTATACATTTGGTCTCAATAAATCTGATGATTATGCCATTTTAATGATTTGCGGATACTTTAAATACCTGATGCAAGGAAGCTAAAATTATTTCTTTTGGAGAGGGCTTTTTTAAACACCGTGTTGCTTTCAAAATTTAATTTTCACTGGCAAGTGGAATTAATAATTCTTTGTAACCGACAGATTGCTTACAAAACATGAATTACCTGGTTAATAATTGAGAGGTTTTATTTACTTCTAAATGGGCTCTTAAGAGGCTAGCAGTGTCAAGTGTTTTGCTGGGTAGAGATCTGAAAACAAAGCTAGTGTAGAAAAATGGAATGAAAAAACAAAGGCCGAAATTATGCAGCTGGTGAGGACAGATTATTCAAATGGATGCTGTCTTACTGATCAGTTCAGTGGCTATGGCTTCTTGTATGTAAACACAGCATGTGTTGCATCAGTCTCCTGGATGCTAGAAAATACAGCATTCATCTCACTAGCCATAGCACAAGCATTTGGATAAGTCATTTGTGGGGGGGGAAGTCTAGCCCATTTCATAGGATGAACATAACATTAAAAGCTTTATGGAGAAAATTACTGGAATATCGGGCATAGTGTTGGGCAATAAATTAATATGCAATTGTAATGAATTGCAAAGCTTGCCTAAAGTGGAAAAATGACCTGGCTCGCATCTCTGCTTCTGACAGGGTTCATACATGTTAATCTATAGACCATGATTTATAAATCACAGTGGCTACTGTCAGACTTAGCAAACCAAACCACATTATAATGACCATGTAAACACCATTATCTTCAGTTCTCTCCCATCCTTTTTAGATAAGACTTTGCTCTTTCTTTGTTGTAGTTAAAGAAACTATATGCAATATATGACCATTTGATTCTTGTTGTAGTATTACAACTCTGATGTCTGGTTTATATAGGAGCATCTGGACAGGTCTACATCCATGTTGAACTGAACCTATAATTTATGATCAAATTCAGTGATAGATGACACAGCATAGCAGCCACTGAATCACAGGACATTTGACTGAAAGCAAGACTTTTGTCCTTTTAATATTTTAAATGTGAACTTTATGAATAATAACTGCTCAAGCATGAAAGCTCTGAAATCAGACTGTTGGTGGTTAAAGATAAGTGAATCAGCCTTGCCTCTCTTTTCCATTTATTTCTTATTGCTTTTAAAATAATGACAGTAAAACAGAAAAAAAAACCCCAACAGATAAAAATACATGCATTGTCAAAGAAAAGTTTAAAAGTGAAAGAATGCAATAAAGGAAAAAATTATATATCTTGCCCCCCTTAATTAAAAGCATACTGCATAGAAAGATACCTTGTTTGTAACTTTAAAAAGGTATTATAACACTTTATATAGTCAACCAATTCCAGCTAACAAAGAATTCTTATTTTAAGTTCAGATTTATTGCTTAAGGTGCCCTTAAGTGCACCTTGGTGCCCTCTGAGCTTGTTTGTTTTCTTGCAGACATTTCATTATCCAAGCTAGGTATAACATCATCTAATTTAATGAAGAGAAGTATGAGGGGGGACATGATAGCAGTGTTCCAATATCTCAGGGGCTGCCACAAAGAAGAGGGAGTCAAGCTATTCTCCAAAGCGCCTGAAGGCAGGACAAGAAGCAACGGATGCAAACTAATCAAGGAGAGAAGCAACCTAGAACTAAGAAACTTCCTGACAGTTAGAACAATTAACCAGTGGAACAACCTGCCTCCAGAAGCTGTAAATGATCCAACACTGGAAGTTTTTAAGAGACTGGACAGCCATTTGTCTGAAATGGTATAGGGTTTCCTGCCTGAGCAGGGGGTTGGACTAGATGACTTCCAAGGTCCCTTCCAACTTTATTATGATGATGATGATGATGTTACCTAGTTTGGGTAATAAAAGGTCTGCAAGAAAACAAGCAAGCTCAGAGAGCACAAAGGACTCATATCAACCCTGAGCTACAAATAATTCTCCTTTATTACTAGCATTTATTGCTTGCATCCTAGTAGCAACTATGAAAGGTGGACACAATTCCTGAACCAAATCAGTTGACAATGCCTGTTCTAAGGTAAACATTTAAAATTTTAACAGCAATCTCAGATAATCGGATAATCCTAAAAGCCAGACCACTCATCTTTATCATCCATAACTTTCTTTTGTGTTGGAATTAGAGAGGGGAGAAATTATGAGGCAGATTTGACCATTAAGGACTGAAACTTACAAATCCTTTGGCTGCAGAGGCATTAAGAGAGAAAAATGCCATACAGAAACTTTTTGAACACAGGAAGTTGGGGAATGTTTCAGGCATTACAAAGGGCTCATTTAATAGAGTTCAAACGAGACACTTTTAAGCATGTAGAATGATAGGTCAGTTGAAAGCAGGAACATGTGAACTAGAAACCACTGAATCAAGTTTCTCTATCCTTCATTTGCCAAATTCAACTTACATAGGTGCTGTTCATCACTGTTCTCTTATCAACCACAGTACCTCTCAATGAAATCAGTTGTAAAATTGAGTGAGTTGGTTAGGAAATATCTTCCTGAACTCTGACTAAGTTACATCAGCCAACAGCCCAAAAAGCACATAAGATGACCACTCATTTTTTTTTCACTTTTCGAAACTCATTGCCAAGTTTACTTCACTGTTCAGTTACTTACTCACCAGGACAACCCAACAAACAGATGGTAGAAATCTTTCAGTCAAAGGTTAGGGTTGTTTGCAGATTATTATGCAAATTACAGTACTAATGTCAGTAAGTGGGATTAGATCTCTTGACTTCCCAAATGACAACACAAAGTTCATTTTCTACTATACAAAAAAATACTTTTATTAAAAAAATTTCACAAGTCAAGTTAGAAAATACTAAAGTACTCTCCATTTATTCAGTCTAAAAATTCAGTTATGTCTGTATTAGCTTTGACCATTTGGGAAGATTTTATTCTATTCAAAACACCTTCATGGTTTGTATCCCAAATTAAGTAAAGATGTACTGCATAAATTAAATCTTTTATCCTCGTTATTTCAGATTGGTTTTAACATTTTACACATTTGGCATGCATATAGCAAGGACCATAGCTTTTTCTTAACACTTCAAATGGACAGGAAAAATATAGTATGTCAACTTTATTGTTTGATAGGTTTTCCCTGTCTTCTGGTTTTTGGAACCAACTCTAATCCTACCGATAGTTAAAATAACAGATCCTTATGTAACCAAACTGAACTAGTGTAACCAAACCAAACTTTAGTGACTAGGAAGCTGACAGGGCCTGAAAATAGAATGGATTATTAGAGCTCTTTCAATCCTGTTAAGGATGGGGGCAGCAACAGAAACTTAAAAGCACAACTTCGTGACCAATTTATCAGTTAATAAAAATTGGATGGCTATAAATACAAACATTTTGGGCAGGTATTGCATGTAAGCACCTACTATGAATTTATTGCGGTGTCCTCATTCAGATGCAATTGAATTTTCTCGCAGGATTACAGTATTATTGAGGACTTTCAGGTAAAAACAAGACGATTTAAATCTGAGCCATTGTGGGTTTGCTGAAGATCACAAAGTTTTGGATTCCCAAAAAGCAGTTTTGTAAAAAAAAAATTCCAGCATTTCAGATTTGTTTTTTTCTTCAAACCATTCTGGAACCTCCACTCCAGCCTTTCAGAAATTAATTCTTCAAATTGAAAGTGGCTCATATCTGGTACAGTCAGTTTTACACAGCCCCACCAAAAAGGCCACAAATAAGTTAAAACAGGGAACATCCTGTGATGTCTACAGGAAGTATTTTAGTTGAAGCAACCCCCTTCTCAAGGTATATAATTAAAAATATTTCTATTTGTGCAATTACCATGTATAGGACGAAAGAATCTCCTTGGGAGACCTAGTGACTTACTGGCTCCCAGCAAGCTCATCACACATTCTGCAACAAGCAGTAGCCTCACACCTTCAGTGTACTCAACCCAGGAAACAATATTTAAGCCAACAAGTGAAAAGCATAGCCACTGGAGGAAGAGCAGCACGCTCTCAAAACTTCGTTGGTACCCTGGAAAATCAAAGGGCAGCAGCTATTGTTTCCCAGGATATATCTATCAAATTCACCTGGACTTTCAAACCTTTCTTCAGGTAGCCTGTTTTTATCAGGGCAAAATAATTTGTCATTTTTCACTGGCTTTCAGTAACGATTTACAAGCTCTCCATATTCCTCCTCCTTAGGCTACTCACAGCTAATAGCTGTAGGTTCTGACCAGCTTGGAGTTAAGATATTTAGTCAAGGATCTTGAAGTACATGCCAAGTATGTTGCAGTTCATGATCGTGTCATGGGTCTGGAATAGATGGCAGGGCTTTAGAGCCCTGTCAAACTCCTTTCTCTCAAGAGATTGTGAAGCCTACGCTGCTACTTAAGCAATGCTACACAGAAAAGGCTTTTCTATAGCAATCCTCAATTGTAACAGCAGACGTGCTCAATAAGGGGCATCAATCAATCCACTTGCATCAACAGTGGCCAGTTTTATCTTGAAAATGTAAGTGATTCTGGGGCCACGGTGTCTCTGTACAATCCTCCTCGTCAAAACTGGTGTCATCTTCCTCATCTTCCTCTTCAAAGAGCTGATTCTCTAGAAAGGAACCCCCCAACCCATACTCCTGCTCATGGACAGAAACCTCGTTGGGAACGACATGTGAGGCACCTTCTATGAAATCAGCAAATCTGGAAGAAAGAAAGAAAGAAAGAACAACGTAGGCAATGCTATAACTAATGAACCCTACAACTACTTCCTTCTACAATTTTTACCAAGTATTTGCAAGACAATTGGGGGAGGGGAGGAAACCTAACTGAGTATAGCATGTACATACAAAAGATGGGTTTTCTTCCCATGAAAGAAACCTAGATTCAGTTTTGAATTTGATTCCTTATACATCCCTTTTCGTGGTCCTCCCACAAATATGGCTTTAAACTGAGTTTCTTAAAATTTTAAGATTACAAAAAAAAAAAAAAAAAATCCCACAGCACATTGTAGCTGACCCTTCCCTTCCGATGATCTTCATGGACAGTACCTTTTTGGAGTCTGGATGCGGGAGACTGCTTTCCACGCAGAGAACTCTGGACTTTGGCAGTACTCCCGCAATTGTTCCAAGGCTTTGCGTGTCTCTACTTCCCCCTGGATCCGATATTCTTCCTCGGTCAACAGGCGTGGTGGGGTGGGCTTTTCTGGAGCTGTGAACAGCTTCCTGCTAGGACAGCAATGGCGTTAGTAGCACCTGTAAGTCAAACATTGAAATCTGGCCCTTTGCAATCATCTTCAAACCACTTAGGAGAGGGCACTTAGGAGAGGTACACACACACTCAACACTGTACCCTATTATAAGTTGGGCTCAGAGTTGAATGTTCTAGACCTAGGCCTTCTTGACAGGGATATTGTCCTCCCAGTTTTACTGAATTATTCTGTAACAACTTGCGGTCATATTACATCTTTTGCATAAATATCTTAAGAAATGCTAAAACATTGTTATATCTGTTTGTGATACTATTGTATTATTGTTCATCTTCAACATGCCAAAGGCCTCTGATAAAGATTATCAGAATGGTGCTTTGAAATCAAGCCTCTTCTTGAGAATGTGGACTCACTGTTGCTCAGCAGCACTTACGAGAGTAGAATCTTCCATGATCTAATAAGTGTTCTTAGCTAATCAGCCCTCATTTCTCCCCATGTTTAGCAAAAACTTTATGGTTCGAGGAATCTTAAATCAATTGTATCTCATTTTCCTGAAATATCTTGCTAATATATTTAGACAAAGCACTCAAGTGCAACACCCAGATATCTTAGTCAGATATCTTTACACCCAGATATCTTTACAAAACAGAAGACATAGATCAGGAGCCTGCCTCTCACCTCAACAATGAACTTTTATCAGAAGAAATTTACATGAACTTTTATCAGAAGAAATTTACATCATTTTCTACAGCTTCTAAAATTGCTTGTCATCTATGTGTCTCGTTTTGTTTTGTCTCTTAGATAAAAATATACAGCAGGGATTACCTTGTTTAAAAAAAATGGTCAGCAAAAGGTACTTCTCTTTATTCATTAATGCACTTCAGTTCTGAGCAAGTGCTTTCTACAAGTGTGCCCAGGTTGTGGTGAAGACACAAGAAAAAGGAAAGCTTTATAAGCCACCCAAAATCTCAACAGATAGATCATGAAATATGTTCAACACACTAAACAGCGCCTGAGATCACATAGCATGGTAAGCCCAAACTAAACAAACAATAATTTCACCTTTAGAGGATTTAAAACATAGGCTGACCTCAGTGCTTCAGATATCGCATAACTAATACTACCTTAAACAGTGCAGTATAGAACCCCCAAATTAAAACTAACTCCGAGTCTTCAGTGTTCTTTCTTGAGATTTTGCAATTTCAGAGGGTTTTTTTTGGCAGCTGCCTCCTCCAGGGAATCATATAATGATGTCTGTCATCTGACATTATCCATACACTATAGAAACTAGAGAATTAGCCAGGAAAGAATAACATACTAAGAATTTCAACAACTGAAAATGTAAGTCACTCATTTCTGGAACACCATTATGCATATAAACATATTCACCCAGCCATACCCTACAAATGTCTTAATGGACCTATTATTTACATTATGTTTTCTAGGTTGAGCCAAGCCAATGTTTCCCATCCATCACCTGTAGATGGCATAGGCCCATATGACAGGGTACTCCAGGTTTTTAGTGCAGATTGCAGTTACAATCAAGATGACGCCAATATATCGTATCTGAATGCTCATATAAAGGAGCAGCAAGCCGAAAGTCTGCAGACCCCAAGTGAGGAGATTTATGTTCCGTTCATTCTCCAGAGGGCCATATTTGTAGCACACAGCAAAGCTTATACACCCTACGATGACCAGGTAGCCTGTGGAGGAATAAAAAGAATTATTTTTATTTGGATTTTCACGATCACCAGGAGTTACTCTTTCAGGATAATTCAGCTTGTCTAAGTCAGCCAGTAAAAATATCAAATCTGTTCTGAATAATTTGGACATTATCATACAGCTAAAAACTGAAGCCAGAAGCAAATAAAATGCAAGAATTCATCCTTCTGACTCAGCATATTTTACAAAACATCAAACAAGTACAACCTGCAACATGCTGATCTAGAAGAAATGCATCACACTTTTTATCAAGAAAACAAGAATTATAAAAATATTATGTTCCTAGAAGACAAGATATGCTTCTTCCAATATGTGGTATTAGAACAGGTGGGAAAAAAACCAGAAATGTTAGTAATTCATCAAACAGTCCCACTGTCAGAATCCAATTATATTTCATCTTTAATTATCAAACATAGAAACTCCCAATTCTGCCTTCTCTGGATTCTGCCATAAGAGGGAGAAAAGGGGGAGAGCAAAGGGGCTTTATGGCCCTCACTTCCTTCAGCACACTTCAAAGGACTGAATGTGTGTTTATTGTGGCCTCTAAGCGTTAACATATCAAAGAAGAGTAATTGCCTTTCATGTAGTTATCTGAAGTCTCCATCCAGATGGAAGAAGAAAGGGGATGGAATTGTGATACTTGAAACTATCACTGGAAGGGGGGTTGATTGGGTGGGACTACTGGGGAACCCCTTAAAACCTTGAATGGGAGAGCTTGAACCCCAAGTCCTGTCTAGCATGCCTGCAACCATTTTCTCTTAATAAAGGATTCCTGTTGGAAGAGCTATTCCAAGAGTTCTGTCTTCTTAAGATGCAAAGTGGGGTGGGTCCTTACATTAGACAGGACTTGCAAAATTAATCCACCTGGAAGGTAGACCCTTGCCGGGGGATTTTGCAAAAATTTACCATGTCAGACAACGAAGCAAGAGAGGGAGAAAACTCCCTGGAAAGAGAGCCGCTGACCCAGTTGGAACCTTGCCAGATGTTGGGATCCGAGAGGCCAGATTTCTCAGAAGAAGAAGTGGTGGAGACACAGGACCACAAGCCTCGCTGGTCGATGGGCGTTGGAAAGAAAAGCGAGTGGGGAAAGGAATCAAGAAAAGTGACCCTGAGACGGGGGACCAAGCAACCAGAATGGAAGCAGGAGATGGAGAAATCCCTGCACGCAAGTGAAGAGGGAGGAAGCTGTATGCCGTACTCAGACTGGATCCTAGAGAGAGCTATTGACCTGATGAAGAGAACTCTCAGCTCCCTAGGAGAGGAGATTCCTGAGCCCTACGCCCGCCCCAGTTCCTGGAGCCACAAAGGGAGAGACACCGAGGGGGACGTGGAACCTGCAACCCCAGGGACATTTACTGATCCAGGAGCTCCCACCCCCTACCGGACCACAGATGGAAATCTGGACGGAAGACACTACCACCCACAATGGAGGCACCGATCCATTCCAAGACGTCCACCGTTGGAGGTGAAATTCAAAGGGGAGCCAACACGCTTGGGGTTTTTCCTAACCCAAGTCCTCAGCTACATGGAGGAATATGGGCAGGACATCCCCAGCGACAAAGCCCGCATCCGGATCGTGCAATCTGCCCTGGATGGACCAGCTGCAGATTGGGTGGTGAACCTGCATGACTCCAATGCCCCAGAACTCAGTAACTTCAACCGTTTCATGTCCTCGTTGAGAAGACGATTTGAAGACCCCCTGGCTGATCGCAAAGCCCGTGAAAGAATAACAACGATGAGGCAGGGCAAACGCCCAGTGGCTGAGTATACACAAGAATTCCGAGCCATTGCCAGCAAACTGAATTGGCCAGAAGACATCCTCCTTGGCCGTTTCAAAGACGGACTAAACTATGATCTATATGATGCTTGCCTGCCCCGAGGAGACCCACATCGACTTGAGGAATGGTACGTCTTGGCAGAGGAAGCAGAGATCGACATATTGAAGAGGCATCGCCGAGGAAAACAATGGAGCCGCCCCCCGCCTGAGCTGACACACCAACCGGTGAAATCATCGGATACAGCCAAGAAGCAGATGGGGTGTTTCAAGTGCGGAAGAGAAGGGCATCGAGCTGTAGAATGCCGCTCAAAGGCCCCCCAGCACAACCCAGACAGATCCCCAATCAACAAACCCAGAGGGTATTCAGCTAAGCCAAAAGAAACAGCCATGAAAATGATGGAAATTGCAGAAAACCCCACCTCTGCTCACCAAGGGGAAAGAACTCCAGCCTACACCACAGGGACGGTGGATGCCTCAGATGACAGCTCGGAAGGCGAACCCCTGGTAAGTGGACGCATCACACCCATCTTCAAAACAGTGACTATATTAATCCCCCCCATGCCCGAAGCTGTGAAGGTGAAAGCCTTAATAGACTCTGGCTGCACCCGCTGCCTCATTAGCCCAACACTAGTGGGGAATCTGGGCATCCCATCCAGGAGACTGGAACAACCAATCTCATTTGGCCAGCTAGATGGATCCATAGCAGGGGGGGTGCCAGCTACCCTAGCCACTCTGCCAATACACCTCTCCCTGGGCAACCATGAAGAGGACTTAACGTTTGTGGTGACCCCAGGTATGGAATGCCCAATGATTCTAGGGATGGAATGGTTGAAAAAATGGAACCCCTGGGTAAATTGGAGGACGACAGAAATCAAATTCCCGAAGGGGGACCCTATGGACTTAAAACCCCAAGGGAGGCTACCAGAATCAAGAATAGAAAAAGCATCCATAGGAGAGGAAAAAAGATTAACAGAAATACCAGAGGAATATAGGGACCTTGCTGAAGTCTTCAGTGAGGAGAGGGCGAATGAGCTTCCCCCCCACCGACCCACAGACTGTACCATTGAATTCAAGCCTGGGGCAAAACTCCCGAAGCCCAGATTATACTCCATGAGCCCAAAGGAGAAGGAGGAAATGGAAAGATTTATAAAAAAAAACCTGGAGAGAGGTTTCATTGAACCAGCTAAGCCTAAAGTGGCTGCCCCGGTCCTTTTTAGAGAGAAGAAGGATGGCTCTTTACGTTTATGCGTGGATTATAGGGCCCTGAACACAATCAGTGAAAGCAACCTATACCCGCTGCCCCTCATGAAAGACATGCTGTCACACCTATCGAAAGGGAAAATTTTTTCTAAACTAGACTTAAGGGAAGCTTACTATCGCGTGAGAATCAAGGAAGGGGACGAATGGAAGACTGCATTTAACTGCCCCATGGGGTGCTATCAATTCAAAGTCTTGCCATTTGGATTACAAGGGGGCCCTGCAGTCTTTATGCAATTAATCAATGACGTTCTAAGGGAGCACCTGTTTAAGGGGGTCCTTGTTTACTTGGACGACATTCTTATCTTTACCGAAACAAAAGAAGAACACGTCAAACTTGTCAGAGCGGTTTTAAAGAAGCTGCGAGCCGCTCACCTATATGCCAAACTCTCAAAATGCGAATTCCACCAGGAAAGGATAGACTACCTAGGCTATCGCATATCCCCACAGGGCATTGAAATGGACCCAGAGAAGGTCAGAGCAGTATTAGAATGGGCACCACCCCGCACAAGAAAGCAACTACAAAGTTTCCTGGGCTTTGCAAATTTTTACCGCCAATTCATCCCCTCATTTGCACAGATAGCCTTGCCCCTCACCAACTTACTAAAAACGAAGGGAACATCCTCAGTAAAACCTAGCCAGCCACTAACATGGACAATGGAGTGCCAAGCAGCGTTTGAGAGACTAAAGAGACTTTTTTCTGCCGAACCAGTACTAAGGCACCCAGATATGGACAAGCCCTTCATAATACAGGCAGATGCAAGTGATGTGGCAGTGGGGGCTGTGCTATTACAAGAAAATGATGATGCAGTATTGCAACCCTGTGCATATACATCTAAGAAACTCACGGAAACAGAACAGCGCTGGCCCGTATGGGAGAAGGAGGCTTATGGGATACGTTGGGCATTACTCACGTGGCGACAGTTCCTGGAAGGCAACAAAATCCCCTTCCAGGTATGGACTGATCACAAAAATTTAGAAGCCCTGAAAACTTCCAGGAAACTCAATCCCAAACAAGCCCGCTGGTCCCAGCATTTTCACCAATTCCAATTTAAGCTCAAACATTTACCAGGAAGAAAGAACTTCCTGGCAGATGCACTATCTCGCATGCCCCAATATAACAGCGCACGAACCACAGACTCTAGACCAATAATGGCAGAATCACAACTGGCAGCGCCAGTAACCACAAGAACCCAAGCCAAAATAAAACCACAACTGGACAGCCAAACTGGGATTGAATTCAGAAAAAGTTTGGAAACAGATGATTGGTTCCAGAAAAACAAACATGTGTGCACAATGAGAGACGGATTGCCTTGGGTAGGGGAAAAGTTATATATACCAACAACTCAAAGACTAACTTTCATGCAACTTTGCCATGACACAAAATCAGCAGGGCATTTTGGATTTGTAAAAACTTTACACTTAATTAAACGGCAATTTTGGTGGCCATCAATAAAAAAGGACATAGAAAGTTATGTTGCCAGCTGCCCAACCTGTGCATCAGCAAAGAGGTTGCAAGGGAAATCGCCAGGGCTGTTACAACCAGTGGCAAGTCCCTCAGCCCCCTGGAGGGAAATAGCCATGGATTTTATAGTGGAATTGCCTGAAAGCAATGGGAATACTGTTATCTGGACAGTCACGGACCTATTTTCCAAACAGGTGCACTTTATCCCTTGCCAAAAAATTCCCACTGCAAAGGCCTTAGCAAAACTTTTCATCCAGCACATTTACAGATTGCACGGGGCACCCCAACGCATCATCTCTGATAGGGGAGTGCAATTTACGTCTGCATTTTGGAAGGAATTTTTATCCCTCTTAGGGACCACTCAGGGATTGACATCTAGCCACCACCCTCAAGGAGATGGACAAGCGGAACGCTGCCAGTCGGTACTTGAGCAATATTTGAGATGTTTTTTAAATTTCCAACAGAGTGATTGGACGGACTTACTTCCTTTTGCAGAAGTTGCCTACAATAATGCAGTCCACTCCAGCACAGGCTACACTCCTTTTCAAATAGCCAACGGCCAAAGTTTCAACCCTATGCCAGAGTTAACCCCAAAAGAACCAACGATCCCTTCACTGAAAGAATGGATGGAAAACCTACAAAACACCTGGCCAATAGTCAGAAAATCACTAGATGAAGCTAGGCGGGCATACAAAGCACAAGCCGATAAAAAAAGGGTTGAGCCTACACCATTCATTATAGGAGAAATGGTGTACTTATCTACAAAATACCTAAAGTCCCTACAGCCCTGTAAAAAACTTGGACCAAAATATATAGGACCTTTTCCAATTAAAAGGATCATAAATCCAGTAACAGTAGAATTAGAATTACCCAAAAACCTCAGGCAAATACACCCAGTTTTTCATTGCAGCTTGCTGAAAAGAGAGCATCAGTCACCTCTACGGCCAAAAATCCCCCCCCCACCACCTCCAATCATGGTGGAGGGGGAACAACACTTCGAAATAAAAGAGATCCTTGACTCTAGGAGATATCATGGAACAACTCAGTACCTAGTTGCCTGGAAACACCTCCCTGCCTCACAAAATGAGTGGGTCCATAAACGTCACGTCAGAGCCCCGAAGCTATTGAAGAAGTTTCACACAGAGTATCCTAACAAGCCTAACTAAATTCTTTACTTGTGTTTTCTTTCAGGTGGATCTCTCTTATTGTTAAGAGGGGCCGGATGTCAGAATCCAATTATATTTCATCTTTAATTATCAAACATAGAAACTCCCAATTCTGCCTTCTCTGGATTCTGCCATAAGAGGGAGAAAAGGGGGAGAGCAAAGGGGCTTTATGGCCCTCACTTCCTTCAGCACACTTCAAAGGACTGAATGTGTGTTTATTGTGGCCTCTAAGCGTTAACATATCAAAGAAGAGTAATTGCCTTTCATGTAGTTATCTGAAGTCTCCATCCAGACGGAAGAAGAAAGGGGATGGAATTGTGATACTTGAAACTATCACTGGAAGGGGGGTTGATTGGGTGGGACTACTGGGGAACCCCTTAAAACCTTGAATGGGAGAGCTTGAACCCCAAGTCCTGTCTAGCATGCCTGCAACCATTTTCTCTTAATAAAGGATTCCTGTTGGAAGAGCTATTCCAAGAGTTCTGTCTTCTTAAGATGCAAAGTGGGGTGGGTCCTTACACCCACTAAAGACCATCCAGATGTTTTGTTTATTTTTTAGTGCTGAATTTAATCAAAATTTGAATCCTTTGCTTCATTGCAGTATTGTTTCATGTAAGCTGAGCTCTCATTTATGGAAAGTGTTCATCACAAGCCTATTTATTGGCACACATGGCAACTTCTGAATTCATCACAGAAACAACCCCCCCCCCTTCATAAAACTTATTCCTGGCAGGATTGTTTTTCAGTCTCTTGAATTTTAGCAGATTGATTTAATAACTATAATATAAACCTTATTGCTGGTGATACACGACACAGGATGGGACTAGATTATAAACTTTCTTCATTCTGTGACTTCTGTGATTGTAAGGGAGGCTTTTAAGGCATCTATTTGAGGTTGAATAATTAATTATGCTTATGGAAAAAACAAAACTTAATAGATCATAATTTGGAAAATCACATTAAGGAAGTAAATTATACAACACTTTGGAAAATGCAATTATATAATGTTTTTATAGCTGATAAAGTTGAACTTCATGCTCTAGAAACCAATATTTATTGAATAAAATCAAGCAAGATGACTGGGAGTAAGAAGAAAAATCTGTCTAGCTTCTGAATTAACCAGTGTCTATACTGTAGCATCATTTTTATTTTAAGGTTTCTCAGGAGAAACCATATATGGACTTAAGTTTGATAAACCAGCCTTTTAGAATATTTTAAACCTAAAGTCAAATGTTTCAGATGCTTAAATTATAGAGCATCTGGTCTAAATATGCCTTCCAAAGATTACCCATGACCATACTATTTATTTATCTGTGACACGATTTCTTCAGAAATTAACTGATACTATTAAAGTGGTCAAACTGACTGTCCAACAGTGGGTTAAGATATGTACTGAGGTTTTATTTCTATGCTGTTGGATAGTTGTGCCTTTTTGAGTATTTTTTCTAAATAAAGATGTCTTTGTTTAATTTTTTTCTTTTTTAATTAGAATGATTCTGTTAGTTGGTAAAGATTCCATTGATTCTGCAAGCTCTATTTTGTTTTTCTATTTATTTTTCTAATGGTTACATTGTAATTTTTATTATGTAATAAAATAATGTTAATGTCCTTATTAATAGAGAAGAATAGTGACATTCCAAATCTACCCTGTGTTTTATATGACAAATAATGAGGAATGCATAACCAGCATTATTTGACAGATGGTTCTGAAAGTGTAAATAATGTCACAATTTCTTTCCAACCTCAATGTCTTACACTATCATGGATTCACAAACCTATGCAAGATTTGCTATCTCCTTCTATTTAATTCCAAATATACTGCCACAAAAAGAATTTTTGTATTTTTCATAGGTAACTAGGAAATTTAATAACCTGCAAACCTTGTTTACGCAAACTAATGAGAATATTTGGATCATTTTAGAAAGTAGTTACTTAAGCACTGCTTAAGAAAATCAACTGCGTAGATTAGCTCAGAAAAATTGCAAAAAATTGCCACCATCTACTCACCAAGTAGATATTCCCAGTATAATGTACATATTTCTTGAAGATTTCTGAAGGCCAACTGGGTAAGGTAAATAGAAAAAGACCAGCCACCCAGAATCATGAGATAGATAGGGCTCTTCTAGAACAGAAATAATAAAATGTTACAGATCAGAGAAAGTTTCTTTAGCATTCTTGACAGTTTCTCTATCTGCAGTATTCCAATGGCTTCATGTACTGCACTGATTGGCTGGCTCTTTCAATCATGAACAGTTCCATGTAGTAATCATAACAGATGTTTTTCTGGGTGAAGTTTTTAAGTATTTGGAAGACTTGGATGTCTCAAAACCCACTTTTCAAAATGTATCAAGTAGCAACTATAATGAGTAACAAATGTGCAGATTTGGGAAAGTGGGAAAACAAATGGACATCACATAAGATGGGCCTACTTGGCACAGGTATATCATGTTCTGGTTTTGATACTCAAGTCTTTGCTTATAGACATTTTTTTTAATAAGAGGAGCAGGGGATTTAAGCTGATCATTCTCAGGTTTACCAAAGGCTCATTCTCCAGGGTTTTTTCTTTGACTCTGTTTCTTTATAGAATGCTATTGTGTTATACTGGGATCCCTTTCATCCACTGAGGTCACTTGCACAATAGGAGAAGAAAATACAAGGTTTTATCACACTCCTTTCCTTTGCCCATTCAAAACAAAACAAACATTTTATGCAACTGTAAATGGAAAATTGGAAAGGTCATCCTAGTTAAGAGATTCACAGACCATCTTACACTAGCAAAATAAATTAGTGCAAAGTTAAAAATAAAAAAAAAAATGAAGATGTACAGCTAAAGCATTATGATCCTGCTTCCTTCTAACATTTGTGCATTCAAGGCTGTTTTTCCTGTTGCTTTTAAGCAAGGTCTGCTATATTATTCATAAATGAGTCCTTTTGATCTAAATCAGACAACTGAATTTTTGCTTTTCTCCTTACAGACCTTTTCTTAAAAGAAATGTGATAAATCTAAGGAAGCTTTTATCAAGGGTATATGAGTATGGGCCAAATAGATAGAGATCGCATTTATGTGAAAAATGGAAGAATCTACCCTCTAATAATGTAGACCACGGGTGTCAAACTCGCCGCGTCACGTGACGTATTGCAACTTTTTTTTGCATTGCCAGAGCTGCAACCGGTCTGTGGGCCGGCAGTTTGACACCTCTGATGTAGACAGAAAAACATTACAATGGGCCAAAGTGAATGCTCTTCTATAGTCCAATACAGTCCTCTTGAGGCCAGTATGGATGTAGCTGGAATATAAGTTTTCTTTGTGTTAAATAATGGCAAACATATTCTGGAAATTCTGTTATCTCTATATTTTTAATTCTGTCCGTTTCTAGATAAATTAGAAAATGAGGCAAGAAACTGCCATTATTACAATTATTTAACATTTTTCTCCACTGAATCAATCAGGATTAGGGATGCTAAAAAGTCTGAAGAAATATTATACATATTTGTCCAATAATTAAGATGCAAAACCATATCCTTTCTCATAATTAAAAGCTTAGATATTCCTGGAAAACACATCAGGGCACTTAACAATTTATTCTTTATTATCTCCAATGGACCAAAATCAATACCTATATATCAAGTATTTTTCAAGTTTGGGAATGTTAAATGTGTGAACTTCAACTTCCAGAATTCCTCAGCCAGCATGGGGAATTCTGGGAGTTGAAGTTCACATACCTTAAAGTTCCCAAGGTTGAAAAATATTGAAGCATATGAAAAAAATGAAGCTCCATAAAGCACTTCAGTTATAACCTAAACCTCAAAACACATAAAATAGTTGGAATCAAAACTTCCACACTCCACTCAGTTCTAAAAAAATTTGAGCACGGCTTTTGAATTTGTGTTCCAGGAGCCCACTATAATGAATAAGATTCTAGATATTTAGAGTTCTTTACTTGTTCAATTTGCTGATAATGCTATATTTGTAATTTTCTTTCAGAAAATTTTAATAGTTTTCCAATAAAGTCCCTTCTTATAATAACCAAAGGTAAAAGAAAATTATAGCGCTATCATCATATCATATAACTACTATTATCCAATCTGCCAAATTAGATGGCATAAGGACCTGCACCACATTATGGGTAGTAAAATTGTGAAGAAATTGTTTTCTATACCTAACTAGGTCAGTAAAATTTCCTGCACGTTTCCAAGCTCACTTAAACATTATAAATGAGGCGGGCAGAAAATAAAATAAAACACAACATAACAATAAAAAGGGGGGAGGGATTCAAAAGGGAAAAAAAGTGAAAAAAGGGGGGAAGATGAATAAACAAAGGGGGGAGGGCTCTGATTTTCCTCAGTACAGATACAAATATACAATAAGGTAATCCCTTACCCTCCATACCTGTTAGACTACCACACCTAAAAATACCAAGCAGAAAGGCCTTTAGCCAGTTCAGGATATTTATTTTTCAGAATGTTGCCAAAACCTCTATCGGTAATATAGTTAAGCCTTCATATTTTTAACCCACCTTGGGTACAAATCTGGATAGTACGTAGATAACAATGAGCAATGAACTCAGTACGCCAATGCTTATTCCAGTTGAATAGAAGAAGATTGAACTTCTGCAAAGAGAAAGAATATTTCAGATGCTGTGCATGAAAATCTACACATGGCACAAGTTCAACAGTAACTTTAGAAATTGTAGGTTTTGGACTGGCAGCCATTAAAAAAAAAAAAAGAAATGACAGCAAGGACTGATGGGTAGACAGGAAGACAAATAGAAAATGAATTATAGCAGCAAGAAGAAAACTGAACAATACTCCAATAACTAAAAGCCATAAAGCTTCCCCCAAAGGGACAGACTTTAGCTGCCAAATTACATAGTAGTAGTAGTGGAAGTCATGCAAGTTTTGGAAGTAATGACGCACAAGTATTGAGACTTCACAAATGTCTCTCTTCACTACCCAAAAAAAGAACAGAGGACAAAAATATCCTGTTACGTGGAAGCCCCTAGAAACAACAAGATTTGATATTTGCCAAGTAGTCTGTAGTAAAAAGGGACAGATTAACACAATCACAAGCTGAAGCAGAGATAGGCATTTACTAGATTATATGGTTACCAGTTACTGGATTTTTACTTACCTACTCATCAAATCACCACAGAAAAACAGCAGCAGGCCCAGAAATGTAACAATGAAGAGTTTGGGATCAAGTGCTACAAAAAATAAAATTATTATTTTATTAATCAGCTGGCTGAGCTACTCAGAATATAACGGCAAATATATGTAAAAAGTAAAAATATCTTTCCATCAATATGTGTTTCTGCTGCATACAGGTTTTTGATAAAGTGATTGTCAAAATGAAAAGATAGAGGACTATTAAGAATCATTGCTGTAAAGTCTTTAAAAAGGCAAACAGTATTTTGTTTTAAAACCGTTCTTTTCATCATTCATATTTTTTTCAAGAACCAACTGATCTGAAAAATGCAGACTGCATAATAAAACCAATTCACACACTTTACATTTTGTACCTCAGAACATCTTATCCATACTCAAACATAGCTCAGCAATTGTGCACAATTGTGTTTCAAAATGAACAGATATTATGTATACAAAATAAGCATGTCCGTGTATGAGATGTTCCTCTTTTTTTACTTCTGCAGATTTAAACCTATTAGACTTGTCCTTATGGTAGCAAATGCTGCCTTGAAGCTTCATAATGTAACATATATACATAAAAAGTCAATGATCATTCTAAATGTGTTCAATTCTCCTTGCTTATTCAGGATAATTCCATCCTTCAGACACAAAGAGGAAATAAAATATGTATGAAAAAAGTAAAGATATTCCCAGAACCCAAGCAGCACATTCAGGAAACGCATCATCTAATTTTACAGGATCATAGAACTGTGGAATTGGAAGAGATCAAAAGGATAATCTAGTCCAGGGGTATCAAATTCGCAACATCACGTGACGTGTTGTGACATTTTTTCCATTGCCGGCAATGGGGTAGGCGCACTTCAGTATGATGGATCTGGCCCACGGGCCAGCATTTTGACACCCCTGATCTAGTCCATTTTTCTGTGAAGGAGACCATCCTTGAAAAATGGATGTCCAGCCTCTTCCAAACCTCCAAAGATAGAGAACTCCCAGATAGACTATTCCATTTTGGAGGGGGGGAGGAACCGAGTTAGCCATGTTTCTGGCAACTGCCCTTAAGAGTCTTTGCAGTTTCCTTGGCAAGATTTGCAGAAGTAGCTTACCATAGTCTGCTTCCTAGGGCTGAGAGCGTGACTGACTCAATGTCACCAGCTGGTTTTGTGTCTAGGACAGGACTAGAAATCATGATCTCCTGGTTTCTACCCTGGTGGCTTAACTATTACACGTAAATGGCTCTTATATAGGGTTTGGCATTAGAACATTTTCTTTAATTTAGGTAGTTGTGTGAGCATGCCAGGTAGTGCATTAGGTGTTCGTATTTATAACAGATTGTCAAGTGGCCTGTGATAATGCGATTGCCATTTGCAATCTTTTGTTCTGTTTCCTCAAAAAGTCAACAGGGAAACCAACAGGAAAAGCTGCAAGCAGAGGGGACATTGGACTTGAGGTCTGTTCTCCCAGTGTCCTGAGAGATTTCCCCTCTCCGCCATGCAGGAAAGGGAAATCCTCCAGTGCAGTGGAGGGATGGATCTCAGATCTGATGAAAACACTAGTAGATTCCAGTGTTTTGAACCTTCTAAACCAGTGGTGGCGAACCTTTTAGAGACCGAGTGCCCAAACCGCAACCCAAAAACCATTTATTTATCGCTGCGTGCCGGGTGGGCGTGGCTGACTGGGTGGGCGTGGCCTCGGTGGTCACAACCATAATAAAAAAAACCTTTGTTCCAGAGAATTTTTTTCCTAGCAGCCAGTCAGAAGAGCAGAGCCCCAAGGCAAGTGTCCCGGAGATGTTTCCGCCCGCGTCTTTCTCATTTTCAATTCTCTTGCCCGTGTGTTGTTTGCACCCCACCCCCCAATTGCTCTACGCTTCGCAGCCCAGGGAGTGAGATTCACCCCCCCCCCGCCTCAGGGCCCCGCTCTTCTGCCTTGTGCTGGCAGCTCCATCATCTGCAGCGGCCGGAACAAGAGGCGGGCCGCAGCAGCCCATTAATCTTTTTGCTGCATCGGCACCCGGGAGCTTGCTATTTCCCCCCCCCCACCCAAAAATCTAGGTCGAGGTACAAACCCAGCTCATGTGCCTTTGCTCAGGAGGAGCAACTTATTATGGTTGTGAACTAAGCCATAATAAGAGAGGTTTTACTTCTTGCCGATTTATGGGGGGGGGGAGGAAGCCCTTGCCCGGCCTGGGCGCATCCACTCGACGGATCTCATGGGGGTGGCTTCTGCTGCTGCTCTGACCGGTCAGCAGGAAAGCAGGAGGTGGAGGGGCAGCCGGGGGGGCTGGAGCCACCTCAGCTGCTCACTAGCAGCCCGAGGCAGCAGATTCGTGCACCAGCTGCCCCTTTTGCTTCCCTGTAGGGCTAACCGGTCAGAGCAGCAGCAGAAGCCATCCCCATCAGATCCGTCGAGTGGATGCACCCAGGCCAGGCAAAGGCTTTTTTCCGGCTATCCCAGAGCGATTTCCACCTGCGCCGATGGGGCTCTGTGGCCAGTACGCCATTATGCAGGACAGCATGCTGTGGCTGCTGACGGACACCATCGGCCCCCATGCGCTCGCTGGCTTCTGTGTGTGGAGGCCAATAGTGTCAGGCAGCAGATCCGGAAGCGAAGCTCTGCTGACTATTCTTGTGCTGGCAGCGGCGGCAGCTGGGGAAGGCAGCATCTGGCATGTGAGCACCCTTTGCCGCTGCTGCCGCACATTGTCCCACATGAGCCACAGCTCACCTTCCCCCGCCACTGCCCCCACCAGCACGAGTTTTGCTTCCAGAACTGCGGCTAGCTTGGCTTGGCGATGCAGGGATCACGCCGCTGCCTCCTGCTTCTCTGTGTGGTTGGCCAGTCAAGGGGCTCAGAGCAACAGCCGCCGCCCCCATCAGAGCCACCCTGTAGACAGGACCCGCACCAGGTGAGGGCTCCTTCCCAACTGTCCTGGGGCCATCTCCGTTCACGCCGATGGGGCTGCACTGCGAAAGGGGGATGGCGGCTCTGATTTCACTCACTCTCCCGCCAAAACTGCTCCTTTTATACATTCCTTCACCCCGGCCAGCACTTGCAACTGTTCCCAGACTGCACATGCGCGGAGAGGGGGAGGAGCCCAGAAATGGCAAGCGTGCCCACAGGGACAGCTCTGCATACTACCTGTGGCACGCATGCCATAGGTTCACCACCACTGTTCTAAACTGATTAAGAGCCTGCAATAATTCAACTAAGTGGAGCAGGGAAAGGATCTAGGCCCGAGTATAATGACACACATGTTCACTTTGTGTCCACAACTGGGAGAGCCGAGGTTCTCCCAGTTGTTGAGTAAGGTGGTTGTTGAGTAAGGTGGTTGTTGAGTAAGGTGGTGACATGGTAATTTACTTAACATTTGATTCACTCAATGACAGAGATTCTGGGCACAATTGCAGTTGCAAGTGGTGGAATACCTGTGTTAGAGCAAGTAAGATAAAAGAAAACTTACTTCGAGTAACGCTGATGGTATATTTGGAGTCTGGGTCTAATATCTCGACTTTCAAGCAGGTTTCTTTACTGAAAATGTCAACATTAATGTAAGTATCATTAAGCTTCTCTTTGAAGAGCAAGCCAATATACATCCATAAACTAAATCCATCCAGTTCTTTCAGCTTCTCCTCACTTTCAACTTGGATGACACGGATTACCTTGGTGCTGTTTATTCGGATCTGGATGGAAAAACAAGAGATGTCAAAAGCAAGAACAGTTCCATAATTAATGCAGAGATTTCATAATATTATTTAACAGTTAGTTGAATTAGCCAGCATTACTTTTAACAAGTTGTGCAACACTGTCCTTACAAAATGCACAACAACTAGCTTCAGGGGAAAATGCTAAAAACTTAACAGGGCTTTTGAAAAACTGCCAAAGGAAATCTGAAAAAACTTAGCATTTTGAACAGGCAGCTTATTTATGGAGAAAAGGCTATTTAATCTAGTGATGGGAAAGAGAGACTAATATTAAATCTCATTGTGAAACCAACTGAGAAATACAACTAACATCCCAAAAAGGCCTTGTGGGGGAGGAACTCTGATTCTTATCTAGTAGAATCCACTGACTCAATTCCATTCCCAACCTCTAATACTGAAATAGGTTAAAATATAGCCTGTATGGATAAGCAATTACAATATGCTACTGCAACATTACTAAGTTACAGAATATAATCTTGTTCTTGACTGTCCCTGATCATCTTCTTCAAAGCTTATTTGAATGGAATATAATTCTATAACTGTGAGATATTTTTGGACCAAAGTTTTTCCTAGATGTGTATAAACTAACTACATCTAATGGAATAGCTTAAAAAGACAAAACAGCAGGACTATTCTTGTTACACAATATACACAGCAAATTGGATCCTTAGCAATTTACTATACAAGCTCCAAATTTATAATTTGCTTTCACCTCTACATGCTCCAAAGTAGAAACTGACTGGGCGTTTTTGGGCCAGTCACACATTCTCTCTCTCACTCCAATACATCTCACAGGGTTGTTGTGAGGAAAATAGGAAGAGGTTTGCTATATTCAACATCTTGAGTTGTGTATGAAAAAATAAAAGGGGGATAAAAATTAAAAAACAAAGACGCTAGAAAACTAAAAATAACCAGGGTTTTAGTGAAATCTAAATTGGAGTCACATAGGATATATTTACAGATCTATGGTTATTCATAGACATAAAAATTAGCTAAGATTCACCTCAGTTGCAAAAAAAAGTAATCTAATTCTTACCTGAATTTTGGTCCATATATCATGCCATTTTGGGATCATTTTATTTGAATAGCAAAACTGTTCAGAGGAATCACGTAGATATGGTTGATGTTCTCTAAGTAACACTACATCTCCATCTACAGGAATCCACACAAAGAAGAAAACAGATATATTAGTAAAATAAAGAAATGCCTTTTAAGACAATGAGACCGATTTATACAAAATGATCAGAATAGTCATATCTAGTAAAATTCCAATATGCCTTTTTTTCCTATTTTTTTACATTTAGAACCTCCTGAAATTTATTTTATGAGTTTGAGGCAGCATATTTTACATAGCACTCCTTTGATTCCCCTCTCCCTCCACATATATACTAAGACAGTTTTGCATAATAGTAACGGCAAAAGGCTAGGTGATCACAATCCATTTTGCTTGTATCAAATCGCAGAGCGCACAAAAAGAAATCTTACTTAAGTCTCAATCTGAACATATTTAGATTTTTTAAAAAGATTAATAAACCATTTACCCTTTGCAGTGACATCAACAACCATAAAACAGCCATTATAAATTTTATAAATAAATTATAAACCCACTAAAATAAGCATTAGCCACATTGCCCCCCCATATGATATGTATGAAAAGTAAGCTAATAAGCAGATGTAAATATTTGTCTTATGCCACAACTCACAGGAAAACAGGATATGCTAGAGTATCAATTCTGCCCAATAATCCATTTGAGGTTTTTTTCTGAGTATTCTAAACAATAGCCCATATTGTCATACTATTGTGATCTTCCTAATGTGGAATAATAATAATGAAAAATCATATCACTAGAATAATGATGTGTCTGCATAATTACTAGAATGCTGTGTTAGCAATATATGACTAACCAAATGCGCATTGCACTCGAATACAATGTATGTAGCAAAATTCTCCATTGTATGCTCATGAGAAACTAACCTAATGTAATACAATGTTTATCATAAATGTGTAGTCCTTTGTTTCTGAAAAAGAGAAAGTATAAAACTGAAGTCTGAACCCGCCCTCGGGGTTCAGAATTGCTTGTCTCTATTGCTTCCGAACCTGCGCAATAAATCTCTCTGCTAAACTCTCTAGAATTCGTAAAAGTTCCTTTCGTTTTCCACAAGGTTCCTTCCTTCCTTCCTTTCTTCCTTCCAAATCCATTTTTACCAAGAAACCTGATGCCCACTTAATTTTAAAACTTCTATCATAATCCAAGCACGCCCCTCAAATCACTTTACATAAGTTGAGGAAAATTTAATACTCGGTATAGCCCAAACTGTTACAAGAAGACGTGCTGGGATTCCAGTCCCCAAGCCTGGCTGGGAATTCTGGGAACGGAAGTCCCATTTGGAGAGGTCCAGGATGGAAAAGACTGTCCTGGAGAATCCATCCAGAGTACCCTTCGTTCTCCTAAATGATAAGAAATATTTTCTGATGGGGGATTTCCGGTTAAGAAATCAACATGAGCTCATCATCGCTTCCTAACAATAAGGCCACTTAGGCATCCTGAGCCTCCGTTACCGGAAGAGGCTCAAGAGGAAAAGGGGCAACTGGGGATGCCCTGAACTATCTCGTGCTCATCTGCTTACCGGAGCCGCGCGCCAGGATCGAAAGAACCACAACCCGTAACAGGAGGTGGCAGCCATGATGGGGCCATTCGGAAGCCGTTTTTGTCTCTCCCGCCATAATTTCCCCTCCTGTCTCTCACCCGCCCCCCATCGTAAAATAACCCTCCCCTCCGCGGTGACCCTCGCAGCCTATCGGAGAGCAAGAGCCACGGCGGCACGCCCTCCAGCTCAGCGCGAGAGTTTAACGGCATCACCCAATTACAAGCCGTTTCACAAGGGAGGGCGGACGAATAAGGCCGGGCTTAGAATCCGTCTTGCCAACGGTCGCGTTGACTGAAGTGACAGCGAACCAATCAACGATCAGAGTTGAGGCTCTTGTGAGGTAACGCCTCTCGACACTGACATGCGGCGAAATTGATATACAGCAGGTGTCTTCAAACTTGGCCCTTTTAGACTTATGGATTTCAACTCTAGCTGAGGAATTCTGGGAGTTGAAGTTCACAAGTCATAAAAAGGCCATGTTTGAAGATCCCTGATATACAATATGTCCACTCAACCAGGGCATCAAGCTTCTCGTCATTAACTAAATCCATTTTGTCACCCCAATTGGTTGGAAGCTGACAACTTTCAACCAATCGAAGAGAGAGAATTGAGAAGCGTGATCAAAAAACACCCACCTTTTTTCTTCAGACGGAAATGGCAGTGTTTTAGCAGGCGAAGCGTGAGGGTGGAATGGTGACTTAACCGACAATTCTCTTAACAACCAACGAGTGTCTTGCACTAGCAACAATCTCCCGAATGACAGGCCGCAACTGGAGCTCGTTGGGAAGGGTGGGAAACTAGAGTGAAGGAGTACTGCTGTTTTTGTGGGATTCGGATTATACAGTAGAGTTCAGAGACAATTATTGTCCACAATTTCCCCTCTGATTCCTCACAGAATGGGGAAATCATATGCAATATACTAGGCACAGTGGCTTTTAAAAAAATGTTATTACGAGTTTGGAAAACTCCAGAAAAATAAACCAGCTAGAAAAGAAATAGAAAAACAAGTTAAGAAAAGTTCACAAAATTAATTAAAAGTTAACTGTTAATGATATGTTGATGCAGTCAAAATCCATCCTTGAAATACTGTCACTGGCCTATCAAACTGATGTTGCTAAAATTAAGGCTTTTTTTTCAGTGAAGGTCTGATGTAAAATCTCTGCTGGAAAAAGTGTTGGACTTTTTACATTTTAAACGTGAGCTCCATTTTACAAATAGTGTTGCAGTGGGATTTTAATAGTGCCACTGACTTTCCCCCTTAGTGCCAATTTACATTCTGTTAAAGTGGGAAAGAAATAGAATAACATAGAATAAAGAAGAATAAAGTATAATAATAATAATAATGAAAAATCACTAAAAGCAAAAATCATGTGTCTGCATAATCTCTGAAAGAAAGCTGTGTTAGCAAAAGCTGTATTAACAGTACGTGAATGACCTAATGCATATTTAGCAACATTGTATAAAAGTAAAAACTGCCTTCATTGTATTCCCATGAGAAATGGACCTAACGTGTGAGAAACTATCTGAATGTTACACAAAGTAGATTCCATATACAATGTAAGATTCCATCTATGCTTCCTTTGTTCCTGAGAAAAAGAAACCTATAAAGCTTTAGTTTAGACGCTCCCCCTTGTTCAGAAATTTGTTGATTGTTAAATCACTTCTGAACCTTTTGCGCAAAAATAAAAATCTCTCTTTCACGCATGGAATTTCGTAAAGGCCCTTTATTTTTTTAAGGCTTTATTTTTCCACAAGACTGTGGTGCTCGGTTTTTAAAAGTGTTTGTTTTTAACCAGAGATAACAATTTGTTCTAGGGTTTCTGGAGCATGTAAGTTAACCATTTGACCAACCACGCAGGGTGCAACTGCCAAGCTGTGGATCATGGGTTATAGCCTGATTATGAAGATTTAATCCTTCATATTTGCATTACATTTATTTCACTTCAGATGAGTTTATTTGGTTGTGCCAGAAACGAACATTGCCAGAAATTTTGTTGGTCCTTGCTACAGAAAAAGAAATAATGGTCAACTACAGTAGAAGATCTTTCTGATCTAGACCAACCTTTGTGAGTAACCTTTTGTCATGACGTAAGTTTTTTAGAATCAAAAATACTGATCCCCTCCTCAGGGAAAGTTCCTTGTATTTCACAATATCATATTTTCTCTAAGGTTGGTAAGAGGCTAGCACAGTGGTTCTCAACCTGTGGGTCGGGACCCCATTTGGGGTCGAACGACCATTTCACGGGGGTCGCCAAACAACGCAGTCCACCACTTTTCCCCCTTTTCCTTAGCTGTGCTACTCCCTTTTATTCTATTGGCTTTTGAAAGCCAATAGAATAGACTCTCTTGAATAGAGTCTAATTCTATTGGCTTTTGAAAGCCAATAGGAATTGTCCAGGCTGTCTCTGCCCTGCTGAGCCCGCCAAAAGTCCCATTCTGCAAATGGAGCTGCACCAGTTGAGTAGTCCTCGACTTAGTCCTCGACTTACGACCGGTTGGGGGTCGTGGCATTAAAAAGGTTGAGAACCACTGGGCTAGCACCTCTTACCTTGGCCAGAAGGAACTGATCCCTACTTTACTACCTGCCTGCTTTTAAGCCAGGAAGAAAAAAAGGAAGGACCCTTATATTTTATTCAAGATGTGAGAGCTTTTAACTGTTATATAATTTCATTCTCTGGTTCCAAAGCTTAATCTTCAGCTTCTATCCCTGCTGATGCTACTCATTTCACTGTTACAGAGCCCATTCTTTTTTCTTGTCTCTAAAATAAAATTGGAAAAGAGTATGCCAGGTATTCTCTTTGTTCTTTTCGTTGTGTTATGAAATCTTTTGTGTTCCAGAGGTATACTCCATTCAAGTTAAGCTCACTAGAGCCTGTAAATTACCCACTGGAGAAATGTTACTATTTTTAGTGACACTGAATATGCTCATGGGCATTGCTGTTCCTTTGATGTTATTTAGAAAAAGTTGCTAACTTTGGCTGAAACATCCACCTTCCATACTTCTTTTATTCATGTTTTATTGTTCTATTGTTCAACCTTCTGAGGTTGCTATAGTCTTATGTATAGCACATCAACATGATTTTTCTTGTTACTAATGGAGAGAGATATGCTGGCATGTCAGTTTGTACAGTTGCATTAAGAAGCCCATCACTACCAGAATTTTGGATGCAATTCAGCAAACCGAGGACATAGGTCAAATCTTGCCTTCTTTTGGTGATCTAAAAATATAACAGAAAGGGATCCAACCAACTGAGTATTAGTTAAGTGAGGTGCAACAGGGGCCTCAGGACTGGAAGCATCAAGCTGGGCAACTAGTTGCCCCAAGGCAACTAGTAAAACACTTTGTATTTTTCACCAGCTTATTAATGCAAATTTATTTATTTTTATCTCATTATTTTTTATTATTTTTATAAATATTATTGATAATAAATCATTTTTATTATTTTTATGGAGAACTCAAGGTGGTGAACATACCTAATATTCCTTCTTCTTTTACAGGTAGTCCTCGACTTACAACAGACATGACCGTTTTTCACACTTATAACCATTTTAGCATTCCCATGGTCACATGATTAAAATTCAGATGCTTGGCAGCTGGTTCATATTTATGATGGTTGCAGTATCCTAGGTTCACGTGATCATCTTTTGTGACATTCTAACAAGCAAAATCAATGAGAAATCCAGATTCACTTAATAACCATGTTACTAACTTAACAAATGGAATGATTCACTTAACAGCTGTGGCAAGAAAAGTCGCAAAATGGGGCAAACTCTCTTTAACAAATGTTTCACTTAGCAACATACATTTTGGGCTCAATTGTGGCCATAACTCGAGGACTACTTGTATTTTCCCCACAACCACAACGCTGTGAGGGATTTGGCTGAGAGAGAGTGACTGGCCCAAATTCACACCGCCAGCTTTTATGCCTAAGGCAGAACTAGAATTCACAATTTCCTAGTTTCTAACCAGGTACCTTAAATTGCCTCTTTCTAAGGAGGGGTTTTTACAACTTGTAATATTTTTCTGGTATGCGTTTGTTCATCAGGAAGCTCAAATTATATTATGTTTGTTAATTACACAATGTGGATCTGGGGGAATCAACAAAGCCCACAGCCAAATCATAGTTGCAAAGTCAGCAGCAGGCACGTCCAACCTTTTGGTTTGCATGGGCCAGATTGAGCAAAGAGGAATTTTTCTTGAGCCACATATAAAATATATAATATAGTTAATGTATATAAATCATATTATTTATTTATTTATTTATTTATGAGACTTATATACCGCTTTAAGTGCAAGCACTCTCTAAGTGGTGTACACCAGTAAGCAATGTATATATATATTTATATTGCCCCCAACAATCTGGGTCCTCATTTTACCTACCTCGGAAGGATGGAAGGATGAGTCAACCTTGAGCCGGTGAGATTTGAACCGCTGACCTGCTGAACACAGTCACCTAAAGTGGCCTGCAGTACTTATGATCTTGTGAAGCCACATTACTAGCTGTCCGGGGTCACATGCAGCCTGTGGGCTGTGGGTTGGACATGCCTGGTCTACAGTATTCAAATCCTTGAAAATGGATTGTGCTGAGCTCCCTAAGTCAAATGGGTTTTCTCACTTACTAGATATTTTGTGTATCTTTTCAGGATAGATGGACGCTTACCTCTGACATTGGAACAATGCCATTACTGTAATGAAGAAAAATGTTGACAGATTTTATTCCAAGTAGAGCAGTAAATTAACTACACAGCAATAGGGATTAAATTTCAATTTCACATGTCTATTTTATCCAGCATACATGGAACAATGGAACCAGGATATTAAAAACCACTTGGTCAAGGCAGTGGCTGATACAAGTCTCTCCTAGCCAAAAGTCCTTCTCTTTGTTCTTATAGCAATTTGAATGGCTCCCAATTGCAAGCATGGTCTCTCTCCATTTGAGATTATTATTGACTAGCAAATACCAGGATCTCTAAAGTGGTTGGTGACATCCTGAGACCTAATCTTTGGATGAAGAGCTTACTAGCACAATGATTAATTAATTGTAACTGTAATCAAGTATGAAGAGGGCTTATAACCCACCCTTCTTCCAAATCGTTGCACCATGGCCTCTAGTGTTAAACTTGTCAATAAATAA